GGAGGCTAGGGTTTCAGAGGAATAATTCCGTAGATGGAAGAGAATTATTCCTCCCCTTTATGGAATTGATTTGATTAATTAGGGATTTGATTTATTAGGGTAAATCAAATCCCTAATTGTGGTAGGTATCAAATCAAATCCTATTTCAATTAGGTAACTCCTCATTTAATTGAGAATCGGGGTAGGAATTAGGAATCAATTCTCAACCCAATTAGGTAGTCTTCAATTTAATTGGGTAACCCCCAATTAAATTGAGTAACTCCCAATTAGGTTGATTAATTCCCAATTAGGTCAAATAATCCCCAAATGGAATGAATTATTTGACCTAGGGTTTTGACTTAATTTGGTTACCACAACAGTGATATTTCTATACGTGCAAGATGGGCATGCACATGATGCAATATTGTTTTTTTTTTCCCTTTCTTGAAGGTATTCTGACTTATTTCAAAAGAAAAAAAAAAGAAACTTTGGGCTCTTGGAAGTGCTGATCTAATTGAGCAAATGTTTGTCCACAATATGCGCTTATTTAAGGATAATTATACTTTATAATGTGTAAAAAGGCGCCGATTGGAGCTGTGATAATGGGCACTCATGCGTTAGTGGGAGCTGTTATGGAATCAAAAGACGTGCATTGGCTGGTTAGACAAACCTCACCGAACGACCTAACTACGTGTAAAATATAATGACCTGTCCCAAAATTTCTGTTGGATAGAGAAATTTTTGCTTACTTGGATGATTTTGCCCCTAGATTTTCAGATTTGAATTTTGAAAGGATCTTTTTGCATCTTTTTATTGTAAACAAATAAAATGCCGGAATATAGAGTGAGAAAATGATTAATAACTCCAGAATGAGAGCCCACTTGATTAGAGACAGAAATTTTGAAATTTTACTTCACGGTATGTGCGGCAAGAAATTATAATCCGGTCCTTTCAATAATGCTGATGGTTATTTATTTCTAAAATTGTCTCTAATACCCTTATAATCATAACACATCTCTATAATTATCGTATGGTTTTTACATTATTTTTTCTCTTTCTGCTACCCAACACACACTTTTGCTACCTGTCTCACCTATGCATACAACGCATCTAGAATTGATTCCGGAGAGCAAAAATAGGGTAAGGCAATAAATGATATATTTATTGCTAGAAGAGAAATAAATATAAGATTCCATTGTGTGGTGGTGGGTTGGGGCCCAAATGTACAGAAATAGGGTAAGGCAATAATTGATATATTTAGTATTGCTAGAAAAGAGAGATGATCAGAAGTTATTGCTTAGAAATCTTGCTATGTTTTTATTATTGCTGAAAAAGTGTCTGTTTTCATCATAGCTAGTTATGTTCTATAAAAGTAAAATCTATTATATGATTTTATTTTTATTTTTATTTTTTTTAATATAAAAGAAGTGAATTTACCATATTATCCTTATTTAATTAATAATTTCAATTCTTAATGTTTGAATTAACCAATGGCATTTTCTGGTATTTTGAATGTTTCACAATTCTCTGCCTTTTGCTTTATATGTAGATAGATAATATAACAATTAAAAAGTTTTAATGCATAAATAACTAATTAAATAATATAAAGTTAAGTTAGATTAGTCTATTAAAGTAGCATGGCAGTTGTAATTTAGCAGCCACATATCCCTTTCTTGCGCAGGTTTTTTTCGTTTTCCATTGAGTGAGGACATTCATCTTGAGGATGAATTGTTGATGAAAACACTATGTTGTATTAGTTTCATTAATTTTTACCCCACTTTCTTTAAGAAATATATATGATATTATTATTTTTCTCCAGTTTAAATTCCATCAGTTCTGCCTAAAAACAGTTTAAATTCCATCAGTTCTGCCTAAAAACAGTTTAAATTCCATCAGTTCTGCCTAAAAACAGTTTAAATTCCATCAGTTCTGCCTAAAAACAGTTTAAATTCCATCAGTTCTGCCTAAAAACAGTTTAAATTCCATCAGTTCTGCCTAAAAACAGTTTAAATTCCATCAGTTCTGCCTAAAAACAGTTTAAATTCCATCAGTTCTGCCTAAAAACAGTTTAAATTCCATCAGTTCTGCCTAAAAACAGTTTAAATTCCATCAGTTCTGCCTAAAAACAGTTTAAATTCCATCAGTTCTGCCTAAAAACAGTTTAAATTCCATCAGTTCTGCCTAAAAACAGTTTAAATTCCATCAGTTCTGCCTAAAAACAGTTTAAATTCCATCAGTTCTGCCTAAAAACAGTTTAAATTCCATCAGTTCTGCCTAAAAACAGTTTAAATTCCATCAGTTCTGCCTAAAAACAGTTTAAATTCCATCAGTTCTGCCTAAAAACAGTTTAAATTCCATCAGTTCTGCCTAAAAACAGTTTAAATTCCATCAGTTCTGCCTAAAAACAGTTTAAATTCCATCAGTTCTGCCTAAAAACAGTTTAAATTCCATCAGTTCTGCCTAAAAACAGTTTAAATTCCATCAGTTCTGCCTAAAAACAGTTTAAATTCCATCAGTTCTGCCTAAAAACAGTTTAAATTCCATCAGTTCTGCCTAAAAACAGTTTAAATTCCATCAGTTCTGCCTAAAAACAGTTTAAATTCCATCAGTTCTGCCTAAAAACAGTTTAAATTCCATCAGTTCTGCCTAAAAACAGTTTAAATTCCATCAGTTCTGCCTAAAAACAGTTTAAATTCCATCAGTTCTGCCTAAAAACAGTTTAAATTCCATCAGTTCTGCCTAAAAACAGTTTAAATTCCATCAGTTCTGCCTAAAAACAGTTTAAATTCCATCAGTTCTGCCTAAAAACAGTTTAAATTCCATCAGTTCTGCCTAAAAACAGTTTAAATTCCATCAGTTCTGCCTAAAAACAGTTTAAATTCCATCAGTTCTGCCTAAAAACAGTTTAAATTCCATCAGTTCTGCCTAAAAACAGTTTAAATTCCATCAGTTCTGCCTAAAAACAGTTTAAATTCCATCAGTTCTGCCTAAAAACAGTTTAAATTCCATCAACCATTCTGGCCAGAACAACCTCTTTATACTGAGATAAATTGTTAAAGTCCTCACCAGTCTGAGGCGAGAAAAGAACTTACTTGGGAGATATTCCTCACCCAAATTCACAATCGTTTGTTTGCAGAAATCAGTAACTTGGGGCGCAAGTTATCCATTCCAAACTAAGTCTGCTAGAATTTTTATTACTAGCAGTGGCACGCTCGCACACCAAAGAAAGCTGACTTGTTGACCAGTCTATGGTTCTCAAGGCAGTGGGGAACTTTGCCCTTCCATCACAGGAGTAAACGCAAAACGGGCAAACAACAGTTTAAGGTGAAATTGAAGTGTAATATGGATAGTTTTTATATTTGTTTAAATATATAATCGAGGATTCGTGCTGGATTTGGGATATAATCCCCCGATGGGGACAAGGACGGGGATTCCTTGAAATTTCATATCGGGGACGGGGATGAGGATGGGGAGTGACGACGAGAACAGGGATGGTATTGCCATACTCAGCCCTCTCCCATTTGATGTGTTTTTATTTATTTTAACCAAATGTAAAAATTAATTTTTCTGCACACCTTTTTTGGCTTAAATATAGTAATAATTTAATTCAACTAAACTAACAATACAAGGCCCACATTTTGACAATAAACACTAAAATATTTTAATGCAAACTTTCTTTGTTGTGTGCATTAAAAACATAAAACATCAAAAACACAATGTAAGTGGTATTTCTATACGTGCAAGATGGGCTTGCACATGATGCAATATTGGTTTTTTTTTTTTTCCTTCCTTCAATAGGTATTCTTACTTATTTCAAAAGAAAAAAAAAAACTTTTGGGCTCTTGGAAGTGCAGATCTAATTGAGCAAATGTTTTATGTTTGTCCATAATGTGCGCTTACTTAAGGATAATTATACTTTATAATGTGTAAAAAGGCGCCAATTGGAGCTGTGATGATGGGCACTCAGGTGCTAATAGGAGCTGTTATAGAGTCAAAAGGCGTGCACTGGCAGGTTAGACAAACCTCACCGAATGATATTAACTACACATATAATATATACAAATTTATAAATAAACCCAATTCTAGACATGTATTTATAAAAAAAAACCCAAGCACTATTTAAACATAGAAACACACCCAAAATCAACCCCAAAGTCAACTTTTTGGGTGTGTTTATAAATGGGTTTTGAGTGTGTGTAATGATGAGTTTTGGGTGTGTTTATATGTTTAAATAGTGCTTGGGTTTTTTTATAATTTCAACCCTCATTTTGGGTGTTTTAGTGAAACTCCCTATAATATAACGACCTATCTCGAAATTTCTTTTGGATTGAGAAATTTTAGCTTACTTGGATGATTTTGCCCCTAGGTTTTCATATTTGGGTTTTGAAAGGATCTTTTTTGCATCTTTTTGTTGTAAACAAATAAAATGCCTGAAAGGGAGAAAATGATTAATAACTCCAGAATGAGAGCCCACTTGATTAAGGACAGTACTTTGGAAATTTTACTTCACGGTCCTTTTTTCAATAAAGCTGATGGTTATTTATTTCTAAAATTGTCTCTAATATCCTTGTAATCATGACACGACCTTTTTTTGTTTCTCTACAACACGCAAGTTTGCTACCTCCCTCATACACAAACCTTACCCACGCATACATTGTACCCCACT